AGAGCCCCGGTGGGTGAAGCTGAGTGGCCATCGCTGAGATGACCGTCACGGCGAGGACATGAGCTGATGGCCAGGGGTGGGACACAGCTCTGTGGACTTGCTGGCCACCCACAAACAGAAGCAGGGCCAAGGGCTGTGGAGCTAGGTGCTTCCCTTCTGGCTAATAAGGGACACTTCAATAAAGGTCTCTCAAAATCTCAAGAATTTCTTAGGCTACGTGCTGCTTGGGAAATTGAGATTTTAATCCCCCTAGTTGTTATGTAGGGGAAGGAAGGGCACGGAAGGGGTCCCCCCCAGCCTTACCTCTTCTTCTTGGTTATGATCAGGACGTCGTTGAACAAGAAGAGGTAGCAGAGCCTGCCGGTGCCTCGGCGGAAGATGCCCGCCTCTTCCGACAGCAGCAGGGCTCCCCCCGCTTCAGCAGCCAGCGGGAAGCAGAAATCAGCGGGAAAGGCTGAAACGGATCCAGGGAAAGTCTGACTTACTACCTGTCTCACAAGCGGCAGGCAAAATCAAGTCCAGAACCTGTATTTGAATTTGCAGTAGACCCTGGGGTCAGCTGGGTCGGACACGTCAAATGCTTTTAAACATCTTATCCAGGAGACCGTCCAGGAGGCGGGGCAGGGAGCAGCCGTACACCCCGCTCCAGCACGCCCAGAGACGCAGCCCCGCGAACCGCAGCAGTGGGGCACATTGTCAAGGCTTTACTGCACCCCTTTAGAAAGCCGCCCACATCTGACAGCGCTTACAGACAGACGAAGCCCCGTGTCTGTCTGGAGCAGCACAGCAAGGGCAGACATCGCTGCCGGCTGATCCACCAGGTAAAACCTCCTCTCGCCAGGAGCCAGTCCAGCTTTCACCAGATGAAAGCACAGAGCGAGGCAGAGGAAAAGTGGGGGGTCGTGAGGGAGCGTGGATTAACAGGCCTGCTCTGCTGAACGCTCCACGCTGGCAGGGCGACTGCCCAGGAACTTACATTTAAGTCAGAACAGCAGGAAAAAATGGTGACCCCGGGCATGAAGTAGCGGTGCTGCTTGTGGCAGCAGCGATGCTCCAGCTGGTCAAGGCTTCCTGGAAGGATTCCCAGGACAGGCCCGACACGCCTGGGACGGGCCACTCTAACAGCACACCCCAGAAGATTTTTTTCCCACCACTGCCACAAGTCCTCACCTTCTTCTTTCCAAATTCCAGCTGTTTCTGCAGAGTGTACATCTGCTCCGTCCTCTCCATAGCACGAGCTCCCTCATTGCAGTTCTTAACCAGCTAGAAAAAGAAAAAGCACCGCAAGGGAAGCGGAGTCCCGACACAGGGTTCAAGCCAGGATTGGGAAAGGAGGTTCTCCTGCCACGAGAGATCTGCAGGAGGGAGACAGCACGATTCCTCTGCCTGGAGAAGGACCAAAGTGAAACCGCACCAAAACCGAGCTTCACCGAGGAGCAATACGAAGAGGAAGAATTAATCATCTGAAGAGAGGAGGTTAGGACAGGCGGACAAACGATCAGTTAGAGGGGGGGACAGACGCTTTCCACAGGCAGGTGAAGCAACGCCACATTTCGCCCTGCCGAGGGCAGCCGTGTGGCACCCGGCCCCTCGCGTTGTCTCTCGAGCAGACGTGCCGGTGCCGCCGACCCGGGGACGGGGGGTCCTGCGTTCTGTGCCCCTGCCGGATGAGTGAGCTGGACAGACCACGAGCGGCAGGAGCGCGCTGCCACAGCCAGTCTTTAGGGGGACGAAAGGAAGAGCTGCCACCGCCGCTTTGGTGGCCGTGATCTCTGCGGCGCATCGCCTTGCGTGAATGACAACCTGATGGGAAGGCAGATGAGACACGGGAGCACGAAGAGCGCACGGCTCACGAGTGCCACTGCTCCCGCTGTTCCTTCGCTCCTCTACCCTTTGGCTCTTTGCTTTGTTTACTGCTCTTTGCCTAAACCTCTAAAAACTGAGGCAAGTAAGTGTCACAGCTCGCTATCACCTCGAGGGAGAGCTCTAATGGAGAAGACAACACCGAAGGGAAGGATAAAAGATGGGCCAAGGAGAAAAGAAGAAAAGATGACAAGAAAAAGGAAAAACAAGATCAGGTGAAAAAGGTGAGCAAGGGAGAAGACGTGTACATCCAGCAGCTATTTGGAGCAGAGAAATCTCAGGTGAACCGATGTAAGAAGGAAAACCAGAGACCAGAATGGCAGGCTCGGGGCCAGAGTGACGGTGCGCTGGAGGGAGGAAAGGTGGAGAGCTGGCAGCCGGGCCTCACCTTGCTGATGGCTTTCAGAGCTCTGGTGGCAGCTCCATACGCTGCAGTGCATGCTTTTGTTTTTTGACAGACAGTCTAGAATGTCAAGATAAGACGCTTTAGTGATATTGCGAGACACAGAACTGCGCATCAACCTGGGATTTCAGGATGCAACACGTGCCGTTCCCAACGGTCAGCCTGGCAGCGGGACGGGCACGCGGAGAAAGCAAGGTTTAACAGTGCTGGTAGCTGTGACTCTGGTTTCTGCTGGGGCTTTCACATCAGATATGTGCCTGAGCACCACTGTCACCCCGCACACCAGGCATCCCCCCGGCCCTCCCCCCTGCAGCCCGTTTCAGACTGGGAGCCGTTACTAGAAATCCCATATCCAGCAGCTTTGCTGTTTAGAGCAGCTGGGTCCAGAAGTCCCGGATTTCAATGAAGCTTGTGCAAGACCTGCTTTCCCTTCCTGGGCCACCCGACCACTAATAAAACAGGATGCTCGTGCCACCCCACCCTGGGTATCCAGACGCAGCACGGGGCATGGAAGAACCTCACGTCACTCAGGTGGATGGCGCTGAGACACGACGCGTTAGTCATAAAGCTTTAAGCTGCACATCTGACACCCACAAGAAGCAGATCTCTCTGGATCTAAATCCTGAATAAAGGCTCAGGCATCCCAGCCTCGGCTCCCAGAGGGATGGAAGTCCAAGCAGAAGGCTCTCCCGGGCTCAGCAAACCAAAGAAGGGAGTAACACGGTCACCTCTTCAGAGGTGCCAGCAGTGCCACTGTGTGACTTACTTACATCTAACAGCAGAGGAAGCCGTGTTACCCTCTGCATAGGGAGAATGAGAAATGATATCATTGGCAGGCCTCCACATTCTGGTTTCCTTTCAATTTGTTTCAAGGTCTCTTTAAATAAGGGGTTTGTGGTTCTGGAACAGGACAAGAAATCTCCATTAACTCTGTTCTTCAGTTAGCAAGATTTTCCAGTAGCTTTCCATGCACGAGAAATGCAGCGCAGCGACGGCACTGCCTCTGGTGCTCAGCGGCAGCCTGCTGAGCTCAGAACACACAGCTGGGGCGGAAAATGGACTGATTCCTTAGCAGGTGATGGAAAAGCACGTAGAGATGTTGAGGCCACCAAAAGGTGGGTAAAGGCTTAGATGTACCAACAGCAGACACAAAAACTTGACCTGTACAAGCAGTATGATCTGGAGAGAAACAGCCTCCATAGATGTCCCTAACACACCCCATATGTGTTCTGACCTTGGCAAGACCCGTCTGACTTCAGTGGTAGCATTGCCCCCTTGTCCCCATCCGTCACCCTTCTCACAAATCACGTCCTAACCACCCGACACAGACACACAGAGTCTAGAGTCGAACTCCGCTCAGAAAGGAGACAGCCTTCCTTAGGGAAAAGGACGCAACCACAGGCTGAGGGAGCCACCTGCAAGTCACGGTCCCGTCTGCAGCCAGTAGCACCCCGGTAGCCCAGAGACCCCTCGTAAGCAGCTCCCCTGCCAGCCCTCGGCCTGAGCGCACAGCAGTACTCACAGCAGCTTCTGAAGTGTCCTCTGCTGGTAGACTTCATTGGAGCAGTAGCTGACGTAAGGATTGAAGTGGTTCGAGGCGTGTTCTTCCACTATGTCGCTGATGTCAGGCATTAGGAGGTTTTCCTGGTGTCGCTTCTCTAAGTCTTCAAAGAAGCTAAGGAGAGAATTTCAAATAACTTCACTACATGACTCATTGGGGATGGACAAACCGAACAGACATGTTTAACAATGTTCCCACTGCAACTTTTCCCGTTTTCCCAGAGGAGAAAGGCCCTGGATCCCTTCCGCACGGGGTCAGCTCTGTGCAGCCGAGACACCCACGTCTCCAGCGCGGCTCCCAGCAGCTCCGCTGCAGAGACGGGGACGCAGCTCTCCAGCTCCCCGGCCCCCCGGTGCGCAGGCTTCCTCCATTCCCGCACGAGATCCCTCCTCCGCTTCAGCTCTCCAGGAAGATTCATTTCTGCCC